TCTCTTTTTTACTATATAGACCTGGCAAGTTGATGTTTTGGGAAAATTCTCCATCTCTGCCTCCCTCTGGCAGGCCGGTTTTGTCTCCAGTCACGACAAACCAGCCCATCGAAGAGCGAACAACGTTTGGAAGTATCAAACTGTCATCTTTCGATGTGTCACGGCCACTCATGACAACGTGCATGAAATAAGAAATCGATATTTTAAAGGATTCGATCTGCTCAAAATCGATCCGTGTCTAAAGCATTCTGTATAATGTTGTTCTGTAAAAAAGATATTTCGTTGCTTGGATGACTGTGAGCGTTCATTCATCAAACGAGGACACGGGGAGGGGGAGGTGGGATGATGGGGAAAACGGGGAAACCGTTACGTCGACAGACGTGTTTTTCTTGAGTGTCACAATTTCCCATGGAGGGGGACGGATTGGGAAAAGAGTGAAGGATTAGTTGTCAGATTGAAAGATTCTTGATTGACTTGATCCACAGCATTTTTGGAGTAGCCGCACCAAAATAAATGCCGTTAATGTGTCTTCGGGATCGTCAAAGATAGGAGTGAGTGTTAGAACTGAGGTGGGAAACGATGCAAGACGTCTGCAAGCGTCGTACACCTACTTTTACGGCAGTTTTAACCTGTTCTAATCGATTTCAAATTGGTGACTTAGGCTAAAACGATAAACTTCGATTCGGGTGGCGGTCTGCCACTAAAGCTGACGTCATCCGTGATTATGTCGATGATAATAGTGATGATAATAATCCAAGGATTACCACTAAGATGGTTGCGTAGCGATTAGATATTGACGCGACGACTGCACTTCGCCATGTAATCCGACTTTGAAACGCTCCGAATCTTAATCTGTGGATCAAGTCTTAACACCAGATGAAAAGTGCTTTGTGTATGACAGCAAAGTACGAAAATGCAGGAGCGTCATTGGCAGAGGATTGATTGCATTCACTTGGAGTGCTCGAATGTGATTGGTGGGTGGATTGCAAAGGCACCGCATTGCACGAGCATCATCCGCATGACCAGACTAGAGGTGTGTGGCAGTGTCGAGAGTAGCCCAACCAACTCAATGTTGAAATACATGTCAGATGTGTAAATTCGGTCAGTGGAGGATGCGTGGTCGTTCACCATAGCCACCCTAGACCAAATGTCGCTCAAGAGGTACCGAAGGAATTGATTGAAGGACATTGATGTGGGTTACCCTCCTGGCCACCGTAGTCCACCTAACTTACTCCTTGGGATGTCCAACTGTTGCGTGCCTGCCAACAAGTAGATTCCATGGAATCATTTAGAAGTCTTTAAAGAGTTTCTGCAAAGGAGTAGATCAAAAATTAGTGAAAACTGGAGTGACGTTTATATAAAAAAAACTGGGTCAAGTGCATTAGTGACGCCTACTTCTCAAGAAAATGTGCCGTGGTTAATTTGATTTTAAATCAGGCACAAATTCTTATTCAGGTATTTGACGTCCATGACACGTTTGATCTACAAAACCAAAGAGGAAAAGCATTTTCGAGAATTCGTCGCTCATATTTGTCGACAAGTAGACGCTTCTCTTTGGCACAGAACATGTTTTAACACTACTACGTATGGAAGAAACATACGAAATTACAAACATTTTAGTAATTTTGTGAATGCGGAAAACTAATTTTGTATTGGACGATGAATAACAGGGCGCAATCGATTATCGATTACCCAACCGGTGCGCAGAATTACAGAAGGTGAGGTTCTTTTGGTTAAGTGATGGCAGTGCTGACGGCGGCATCCCGCACAATACAAGCGACGATTAACTCTTCAAACAACTTGACTTTCCGCTGTGGTGGTTTGCGTCTGACGCGTCCACAGCACGTGGGGACCAATCGGACGCGAATGACGATCTCTGTAGCCCTGGTGCATGACCAGCACTAACTGCCCACATGGCAGCGTCGTGCCGTAGTCTGGAAGTGCACAGAGGTAGTGCAGTGACACGGTGCGGACCAATCAAATTCATGCGGATCCCAGTGACACACAGACGCCCAACCTGAGAGGTGATTAGGCAGTAGATGTGAGCAAATGGAGGTGCCAAAGCGGTTTCAGATACGTTCCATGCACGTGTGTGTGTGTGTGCTTGCGTGGGTGTCACAATCCACGTCTTGTCGCGGGTCGTGTCTTCATCGTGTCGTGAAGGAACTCGACAGTGCGAACCGTCGATACATGTAACCACTGTGCGTGAACTTCCACACGCTACGCGTTCCATTAACTTGGTCCTGCAACAACCCTGATCCAGACAGACACGACTTACCATGCGCGGTGGAGAGGCAGATGGAACTGTGACGACGTGTCTAGTGGGGTGAGGTGTCTGTGCCGTCGTCTTCTTCGTCCACAAAACCCCTTCACCCTCCATCAACTCCACGTCGATGTTCGTGACACTTTAGCAGTTGCCGCAGCACCCAAAGGTTGCATTGAGTGCAGTTGGATACACATTAACTGTTTGAGATCGGACTTGGTCATTGCGTAGGTTAAGTGGTTCAGTTGAGATGACCATCGACAGTTCATCCGTAGCGACTTGTTGAACAGACTTGTGAGCATTGTGTGCTGTGGGTGGCGGTGGGGGCTGCGTAGGGAGTAACGAGGCTGCAGATGGCAATGCGAGACTGGTACCAAGAGCACAACGGTACCTCACCACAGCTGCGTTTTCAATTTGGCGATGTTTGAGTAGTCTGAGAACGGCAAGTCGCTGTGTGGGTCATGCGGTATGGCGACCAGGATCCGCTGATCCCTCAGTAGTGTCAAACGCTTGTCTGACTCAACAATGAGGTGCTGGAGTGGATGATGGTGTAATTAGGTGTGATCGGATCACACCAAATGGCGTTCAATGTTCCGGATTCGATGAGGACAAGTCGCGTTATCCGTGCATCATGTGGCTGTCCGCCGCTTCACTTCGGGCAGTTGATTACTGCTGCACTGAATTTGTTCACCTGTTTGGTCATGTTACTTGAGGACTACCTTCATGTTTTGGGACATTTCCCGCATTGAGTGCGACTCAGTCAACACCAGATGCTGGCATCAGATGAAAAACGACAAATAAAGGTAGGTCACAGGCGTAGTTGTAGGGACGTAGCAATAGCCTTGCGCGGAAATTATCCGATAATGTGTCCCTCACAATCAAGCCGCAGGTCTTAGTACCAAGTTGCTACTCTAACAGGCCGTCTACCCGTGTTGTCGCTGTCCTCTAAAATATACAGCAAACTGGATCTATCTTGGGGCCAAATAAAGCTAGGAGCAAGCCACACACACAAAAAAATTCTGGAAAATCTTTAAGGAAACTTGCCGTTTGCACAAAAACGAATTCGACGGGATTCCGCCAAACTGTGTTAACCGTTGATGGATGCGAACATGTTAGTAGGCAACCAGCAATTGATAAATGAATGTATTTTAGTGAAACGGCATTCGTTGCCATAGTCACTGACGACCTGATCAGATTGAGTGAGGTGATCGGGACAAAGTGGGTTCTTTGAATTGTGCTACATTGTACTTTGTGTAATTGACCAATTTGATCGCCCTCAAATTGCCCCGACCACCACACAAATTGCTGAGGTGTTTTTTTCAGTGGTACTCGAGTTTACCAGCAGTCAATCAAATATTTGAAAGACGCCTTCACCTTCTTTCGACGGACTGTGCCAAGCAATCAACAAATTGGTCTCTGAATTTCGGCACGTGCTTCCCTGTCCGTTAACTGTTCCACACCACTGCATTCTAGCATGTCGTCAAAAAAATCACCCATTTTTTTATGAGCTGGCATAGCCGTCTTTCAAGAGCACACAACAAACAGAAGATTTCGACTGGCTGTGCCCAAGAAAAGAGCTCTTTAAACCACATCGTTACAACAACGTGAACGAATGCCGTATAGCAATCGTGCGTCTCAAGATCACAACTTGAGCACTGCTGATTTGTTAACGGGCTGTCTACCAACAGGTTCGATGCATTTCCATTGGTTAGCCTCAAAGTGTCCAATAATTTGGTGAGCACCAGTCTTGTTACCTGACTACTAACCATCAGACGTTAGTTCAGGATTACTTCTGTCTTTGATAACACAAACAAAGTGTGTCTCAAGGAAACGGCGGTCCACAAAGTGTGAATTACTGGCTGCTTTCAACGAGCCCACTTGATGGAGTGCGTGTCGAGTCACTCACTCGTGTTGATCACTCCAACGGAAGGTCATAATTAGCGCGGCCATGGCAACAGGGGCGTGTGAGCGATTAAGCAGGTCTCCACAGTCGGATTTGAGTCGCCTCAACCGAAACAAGTCAGATTAGGAGAGGGTCACTGGTAAATTACAGGCTAGTCACAGCGACCACGTTAAGCCCTGAATTAACATGAGGACCTTTGAGCGGGGGGGGGATAAGTTGTTCAGATCTAGGCAGAGGGCAAACAGGATTATACCATGCGAGGAAAGCAGGACTTCAGCCTACATTGAGAATGCAGTTTAAATACAACGGTCCAATCAGTGGTGGGCACATTGGCAGGTCTCAATCTTGATTGGTCGAAAAATGCAATCTGCTATTGGGCTTGGACAAATTGAAAATAAGCCCAGTCATGCACACGATTTTGATTGCTTAAATTCATGGTATCGGTAGTCGAGACAACAGCGCAGTAACACCATGACCGCTAATTGGCGTTTGACCGTCAAGCGAGGTGACAATCGATTGACGTGTTAAATTTTTGGCCAGGTGGAAGTTAATGGGATGAAAGTTGACGGGAAAATAACCCATAACCACCAATTGCAGCAGCTTTGGGGAAATTAAAGCCCTCATTGGACTTCGGACGCGTCTTCACGGATTAGAGCTGTGAAATGACCGACTAACTGGTCAGATAACCCCAGTGGTGTGAACACCCCAAAAGAGAGAAGCAGCCGTAAAATTAAATCCTCAACTTGCGACACTGAGGACAACATTTAATGATCTGACAAAAACGGAACATACAAAAATAGTGCTCAGTTTGTGAGGACAGCGGCTAGACGACACTCAGGTTTTTCCGAAAAAGGCCGTGATTGACTTTGTGCCCCTGGCCATCTTCATTCGCTTCGTTTCAGACGCGGTTTTCACCTGGTAGCAGCACAGAATTACAGAATTGGGGACAAGACTTACCGATGCTGCTTTGGAGCCATTGAAATTCTTTGAGTAGTCCTCTGTGGGTCCGTTTTCGTGGCAAGCCTGAAAGGAAGACGGCGCAAATAATGCAGGGTACCTAATTAGTATAAGTAGAAAGGGAAGATGAAAGCGATCAGGATGAGTAGGGTTAGCAGTATGTGATTAACAATTCCAGACAAAAACACACCACAGACACACCTCATTGTCTAACGTGCAAAACCTACAACAAGCAATGTGCTTATTCACACGAGGCAAAATACCCAACATGCCAATTTTGAAAAAAAAATAAACCAAATTGAGAATCTGCGCTACCTAACGCACAGCAGTGTAATCGGCGAAGGATAACAAATTAAAACTACTAGAGCATAACCAGCACAGAAGAACTTGCCTTCTTCTCACTGCTGCCAATGACAACGTCAGTGTTTTCCTTGTCAGCATGGATAGCAGGAAGACAGGCGGAAAGGCCGAGAGACGTGTGCAGCTTTTCGATGAATTCACCCGGCAACTTGTCAGCAATAAGTTGGAAAGCGAAACTACGAAGCGCACCCTCGTGTAGGTCACCGGATAGGAGGGCCCGAGCAGCCGTAGAGTCTGAATTCATTTGAGCGAAGAATGCAAAATATCAGAGCTATGTTTGGCGGAATTTAACTGACCCGAGGTGGGTAGATTGTGTGAAAACGCACCTTCAGCAAATAGTGGAGCGACAGCCGCCGAGTCCGCCCTCTGTGAAGCCAGTGCGATTTGCAACTGTTTCAATTGAAGAGAATCTGACAGGCGACTCGCGGCCATGCAAATGCGATCCACTGATGACTGCAACCACTTCATGAGCTTGGCCTCGTCCAGGCGTAGCACCTTAAGCCCACATGTGACTTAAAAAGGAGGAACATTATAAGGTGGAAGGGTGCGTCGGAGGTGTGAAGTGAAATGCACCAGGCACACCTTTGTGTTCACAAACTTCGCAGATTTTTTCGAACGTGGAGTCTGAGAAAATTTCAGGAAACCCGGGCGCTGACTCAGAGCGAGTTAGAACATCAAAGGTGGTAAACTTATCCTATGAAACGAATGGTTATATGGCGTAAAGCGGGGCGAACCATCTTAAGAAGAGCCGGAAGGAAAAGATACACCACATTAATGGGGGAAAGGATGAAAAAATCGCCATCTTGAGAGATTGTAAGAAAAATGAGGCAGTACTTTTAACAATTTGGTTGCCAACAAACAAAGACCGCTTGGATAGGCTGACTTTTTGCAATTCGAAAATAGAACTGGTGTCCTCCGAAACGATGAACACACATTTTTTTCCTTAATGGTGAGAGTAACAGTAGAAAAATTTACCTAAACGTGGGTGAAGAAAACGAACGCATTTAGAGCGGCGTAAAAAACCGTTTGATGGTTCTAGAAAAAATTAAAACGATTTTAAATCAGACCAGGTGATATCAAAAACGCTAAGTTGTTCATTTTGAATTTCCGCGTTAAATTCAACGAGCTAAAACTATTGTTTTATATAAAAAAATTCCTTTGTGTATTATTATACAATGTACTAGAAACTACGAATTGATAAACTGTAGCATGTAAGTAAAAACAAAAACATTTTTTAGCCATTTTAACTAATTATTTTTTTAGTTTTGATAGGATAATTTTTGGTTGACTTGGCGGATAAATCCAGAGACCGTGACAAGCACCCTAATGACCGCAGTTTCTCCTTTATAGCCTGAAACACATGTCTC